AATGGAGGAAAGCATAATTATTAAGTTGAATATAACTAATTAAAGTGGCCACCTTTTTTGTGCTGCTACAGCCATTTACTAGCCATAATGTCAAAAGAGCTGAGATACATATTATGTAACCTTGATGATCACAAAATAATTATGATCTATTTGAATTGAATTGTGTAACACAATAGCAAATTTGACTTCTGTAAAAAAAGCCTAGATATATTTATTATGCAATACTACTTTTTTTATGTGATGGATAATATTTTTTCTATGCCATTGATGGTTTTGGGTCTCCACTCCTGCATATTAATTAATTATATCAAAAGATATTATGAGTAGAGGACCATACAATGAATTCGACCTACAAATAAAATTGTTTTATAATGTGTTCATAGTTGATATGATATGTTTCTATAGGTATGATATAATTTATTGCAAATAGTCAATTTTCCTATGTTGCTTTCCGGTATATTTACATAGAAAGGTATCGAGCAGCAGACTATGTAAGATTACTTCACTAGCTGGGTTATTCAAATAGATTAGGATGTACAAAGTATAGCTTGTAACTATTACGGAGTATTGTTTTTTATCATTTTTATGATATTTTAATATAATAATTTGTATTATTTTATGCACAAAGTAAGGTGTATAACAATTAATTCCGAATAGTGAAAGTACTATAGATTTTCCTTAATTAGCCAAAGACGCAAGTACTCACTTGGATGTACTCTAATCTAGCATTGAACCATTTTCACGAAAAAAAAAAAGAAGCTGCAAGTACTCCATTATAAAAGAGTATATGTGCATGATTATGAGATTTCTGTCAATAATAACAAGCTAAGCTGTTTTTCTTTGTCTCTTTTATATATTTGGTGCATAATTTTGTGATAATTGTACTGAATATTCTCTGTGCTCCAAATTGATAGTGATTGTTTGCGTGATCAATATGTAATCCATTGGCTTAATAAGCCTAAAAGTATATATATAGTTGCTTATATTAAATGATTAAATGATAGCAAGCAATCATGTATGAAGTATATATTAGTATTATATACTTTCACCAATTAGCTAACATCTTTACCTTGAAACTAATTAATTCACAAATCTCCTTTATATGTCAAAAACTAGTTATTGTTTGTTAAAAGCCTGTTTTGATTTACTGAACTGAACTGAATGGAGTTGAATTGAACTGAAATGAATTTTTTATGAGAAGGATATTAGGAACCGAACTGAAATGAACTAAACTGATTGAAGTTGAACTGAACATAAATTAAAGTGAAGAGAACAAGCCCTAAGACAGTTATGTTTGGTAACACAAATTAAAATAAAATAGAGTCAAAACTAATATTCGTCCGTAATAAGTAAGTAAATAAAATAAAATGAAATGAAAATAAAAATACGTGAAATTGGTAAACTAATAAGACATCTTATATGTATGACTGAATGTAATTCTTTTGTAGAATTAATTGCTTATGGAAAAAAAAAACTTATGAGTAATGAGTGGGGGCTCAGATGGTTTCTTGGCTGCCCGCTAAATTTTATGTAAATCTTTTGAGTTTATACTAAAATTCTTTTTTAAAAAAAAACAACAATAATAATATACACAAAATTTCATATATAGCTACATTGTGGGGCTAGGGTTATTTGGTAAGGGGCTACTCGATTAGGATTACTCGATCGGTTAGAGGTTACTCGGCCAAGGTTACTCGATCGTTCATCGATGATTCAGTCGGTGAGGAGTTATTCAGTCAATGTAGTTTTTTTATGCATATGTGTCAGCTGCCCACACGGTAAACATGTTGTTTTAATAATAATAATATATAACATGAAAGTTTGCTTATTTTTTGTTCTCTACCTACTTGTAAATTTTTTCAAATTCATCATTAAACCTAAATTTAAACTACTTAATTAATTCATCATATCATCTTACCCCCTCGTACTATTATACCTTGAAATTAATCCTTTTTGACTTTATTTTTATCCACTTCTATTTTGTTCCATTTTCTACACTCACTAATTAGCAAAACTTATCAACTAAACAAATAGCTTTTATTATTGCAAAGGAACATTATTGGCATATTCTTGATTAGTTATGTTGAGTGCATAAACCTTCCATATATAAAAGCATGTTCAACCTACATCCAAAATACACTCAACAACACATACTAAAAAACAGGCTAGTAAATTAAATAACTAATAAGCTATCTATTGATCCACATTCACCCAACAAGGTGCGATCTGCATCAGTTCATCCCCTTTCTTTTGAGACATTAAATTCTCCTATTACATCACCTTTCATATTTTTTTTGCAAATCAAATCAACTATCTATTCTGAATTCCTTCTTTTCAAAAAGTTTTGTTCATGGCCTGATTTTCATTTCTCATACTAGATTACACATCATCGCTAGGAAAAAAAAAGTCCAAAACCCATTTATTTTCCGACATTGTACAATCTTCATTTTGTAGATATGGTACCATGCATTTGCGCTTTTACATAGTTCACACACTCCACTTTAACTATATGAAAGGAAAATCATAGTTTATCATTTGAACTTTTGTTACATTATTCCCTATTGTAAAATGTGAATCACGAAACTCTACATGTCAAGATATTTATGAAACAAATAGAAATCGGAGAGGAACCGGACCCTAAAAAACCATTTTTTTTTCCACTACACATCATATCTTATAAATGAAGTAGGATGAGTAAGTAATTAATCAAATACCACCATTATATTAAATATATGTATAATACACCAACCACCTAATAACTTAAAGAGAAGATGCAAAAATTTGGAGAAGGAATAGATGTTAGAGATGATATAAAATGGGCCCTTTGAAAATTAAAATAAAGAAACCAATAATTCAAAATCCTGTAGTTACCACTTATACGTGTAACACTATCATGTGCCACTATTTAATTGACGTGTTTGTTGTGACCATTAATAGTGAAATATTCAGCAGCCATTTAATTTAACGCTCTCTTAACACTTTGTTTACATATATTCTGTGATATAATTATAATATTTCTAGCTGTCTACCACTCTAATATTATCTGTCTCATTTTATGGTAGCCAAGTAAAATAAGCTATGACATAAAAATCAACATTAATTAGCTTCTTTTAGATTTTTTTTTTTAAAACTAAATTAAATTTATGGAGTACATACAATTAAAATGGTGTACGGAAAGACGATTAATTAATCTAGTAGGAGTATTAGTTAATTTGGGTTGTTGCTTAAGAGGTGGTATGAAGTAACATTATGTGTATTAATTTAATTATTTATAATTTATTCCATTTTTCCAATAGTAGTTTGGAGATTTTATTTAAAAACTATCATTCAAGTAGCTAGTCTAGGTTATTAGTTACATATGGGATTAGATATTTGCCTATATGTATTCCTTTACAAACTTGGATTGGACATATTGGCGTATATTTCGGAGTATAGGTGACTATTTAGTCCTGCCATCAACTTTAGTATCCGAAATTAATATTAATTGACCGTGAAAATTATTAAATCGGAGTATGGTGGAGCCAAAGAACATTACCTTTACGGTGGAACCGTATCGAACAATTATTGTTTGTATTATTGTCGTCGTCATTGTTGGTTCATAACAGGTACAAAGGGCTATGATAAAAATTGACATCGACCAAACTCTAGTTATAAAAACTTTGAGAAAATGGTTAAGATCTTTGGCTCATTAATTGATGTAGTCCTATACATATATGGAGTAAATTTTAATCAAAAGTGAAATTGTAAAGTTATCTAGTTAAAAAAATGTAAGATCAATTCAAATTTTAGAAATTGATGTGTTCCAACAAAATTAACTAAGCTACCAACCTTGTCCCTCCTAACACCTATATCAAGTTCTATATATTCTAAAAGAGATCAAACACATGAAATTTACATGCATCGACCAAGAATAAAAAGACAAAATTACCCCTAACAAAATGGAACAATCACAAACGTAAATTGATTTTTTACAAAGATTGAGTTCCGAGGTTAAGGGTAATTTAATAATTTACTTCGGCATTTATTATTTTTTCCCCTACACAACAATTACAATTATGTTTGTGCAAGTAATTAAGCAAACAGTTTTTGACAGACATGACAGTTCTATAAAATGAACCTCCACATGAATTTTATTGCATTTTTTTCTTTCTATAGTAATTTTGTATTCAATTTTTAATTTCTTTTTTTCAGTTTTTAGTTACTACTACGGAGTAATGTAATTTCACATGGTTAAATTCAAACAAATGTACACGAGTAAAAGATATGGAAAATACGGTAAAATGATCCTCATTTTAATACTCTACCACTATTAATGAAGCAAGAGAAGTAAATACTTTTTGCCATTCATTTATTCAATACAAATGCAATAATATGGTACAAGTACTCTGCATCTATTAAAATCATAACAGACTATATCACCTTTATATGTAAGCTACTTTCTTCATCACCTTATGTACACTATTGGTAAATTGATAGTGCATTGTAATAACAACATGTTGTCCTTACCTTTCAAGTTTTGGTCAAAATGTGTAGCAAAAGAGGGATGGTAGGAGAATGGAGATGATTAATAAATGATGGTGTCAACCCATATCAAACCTACTTAGTCAGGCCAGTGCTAGCTATTACTCGCTCTGTTTTTATATATTTGCCTGTTTTAGAATCTATAACTTACCGAACCTAAAGTCTTTTGATATTGGAATAGTCAAATATATATCTCGAAATTAGGCCGGCCGTTGAGTAACATAATGTAAGTTTTTAAGTTGATATGAGAAAAGATATATACTAGAAATAATAATGTGTCATCACAAATTGCATTATGAAATATAAGTAATTGCATACATACATACACTAGACTATTGAGCAGTTGAGACTTGGTAAACTTCGTGTTTAAAAAAACTCATCGATAATCACAATCACTAAAAAATTTCCCTGGAAAAATGGTGGGAAGGGAAAAATTTATAAAATAAAAAGAAAAATTAAAAAAAAAAAAAAAAAGTATCTCTATTTAATTCCCTAAATATATATATATATCTGCCATCACTTAAAGGCAATTTAAGGAGGAGGGAAGAACATGTCTCTCTTTTTTTTACTTTTTTTTTAGAAAAAAAAAAAATTATAAGAAAAAAAAAAATGCTTTTGCATTTAATGATGCCATAACAAAGCGTCAAAAGAGGTATTATAGCTCAAACCTTGTTCCCCAAAATACCCCTCAGTAGCACTTGTATTTTCATTATTTACCCAGCATTGAAGCAGTGGATCCGAGTCGTAGAACTCGTACATTAACCACGTTCTGTCCACGAACTCCGCCGAGTCGAACCCGAACTCATCTTCCAAACTTGGCAGCTCTACTATTTCTCCTAGTAGTTGTTCCTCGTCCCCTGACACGATCGTGGAGTCTGAGGACAATGCGGTTGTTGATGAGGATGTTGAAGGTGAGGCTGGTGCCACATCCGCAGTAGCAGCACTGCTGCTATTCGTTGCATGCTCCTGGATGGTGGCACCAGCGGGAGCAGCAGCAGTGCTGCTACTGCTGCTGCTGGTGCTGGCAGTAGCGCCATTGTCTTCCGTTGTAGTTGTTGTGGCGACGGTGTTTTCTTCTGTTGCTGTGAAGTTGAACTCGAGGGCGGCTGCCTTGGCAGCCGCAAGCTGGACATCGCGAGGAGAGTTGGAGAGAGGGCGGGGGAGAGAGGGAGCGAGATCAGGGAAGTTGAGCACAGCAGATGAACCCTTGATACTCAAGGCGGCCACGTCATGTGCACGAGCCGCCATCTCAGGGGATGAGAAAGTCCCGAGCCAAATCCGAGACTTCTTTCGAGGTTCTCGGATCTCGGAAACCCATTTTCCCCAAGCTCTCCTACGAACACCCCGGTACACGGGGTGCTTCGTATCCCTCTGTCTCTTCTTACTATTACTATTATTATTCTCATCTACATTTATTGCCATCGCCTCATCGTTATACGTCGATGAGGCGTCCGATGAGTTCTCTGGGTACATATGTTGATCATATTTTGGTGCCATCTGAATAGATTAATATTTGAGAGTTGAAATTATAAATAAAAGCCAATTAAGAAGGAAGGGAGAGAAAATAAAGTTAGTAGAGGTTTTTGGGGGGAGAAGGGATTTATATAGGGAGGGAAAAGAGTGAAGAGTATGGACAAAGACACGAGGTTTACGCCTATAGAGGTGAGGCGGGGCGTGTGGGATACAGGACTTGGAGGGAAATAAGGGGAATATCTAGTTACTTGATTAGTGTTAATTAACCTTAATTATTCTTCGTTTTAGTTTTTTAATCATGCTTTGAATCTACAAAGTCAAGCTCTAAATTTTCATTAATTAAAAAAATATTATGTGATTGTATAATGTAGAATCTCTTTGCCGTGTTATATTTATGTACTCTGTATATCTTATTGTTCTGATCATATAGTGTGATCTTTATATTATTTTATTGATAATAATATATTACTTCCGGTTCGTATTGTATGCAACTTTTAGTGCATTATATGTGAGGTATAAAATATTTCAAAGTTGCATATAATACGAACCGAAGGTAGTAATTAATATACTCGTTCTCTGATGCTTTATACTCCCGGCCCCCTCTTTCATACACCGTAGTTGACCTTCTGTAGTATCAGATGCAGGTAAAAGTTAAGGTTTGTAAGAAATTAAAAATTTGACTCATGATATTACCTAGGAATCAAAGATCGAGGTTTGATTACAAGAATAATATGTACTACAATATTTATTTGATCATAGATTAGGTATAAAAATTTAGATAATTTGGTTTAACGTGTTTTACTGATTCGATCAATGCATTTTTAGAAGAACTCGACAAGCTGTTAATGTTATTTGTACAAATAGATGTCTTAATACTCCGTACTTCATAATCCGTGTTAAGATAATACATTTAGAAAAATGTACTTCAGTTTTGACAATTCTTCAATACCTTTTTTTTTTATTATATATTATGATAAATGTCTTAATATGAATACTTGTATATGATTGAGTTGAAAAAGTAAAAAATTAATTTTGTAATGGTTGAAGATATTTCCTTTATTATTTGCTGGAAATAAGTACAACCTCTTACTTTATATGGAAAATCAGAGAATAGTAAGATTCAGTCCAAATAGAAGAAAATAAAAAACAAGAAAAACACACCTTATTACAATTAAAATTGTTGGAGAGATTAGGTGCTGCCGGCCTGTTGTTTGTAAGGAAAGAGATGTGCACTTTCAATGGAACACCTTATGATACACCCCAAAGCTATGTTTATTTAATTGCTAAATAATAAATTTGATAATGAGAACTTATAAATTTGGCCTTTTTTTATCTGGTGTTCTAGTATATATTTTCTCTATTCTTTTTTGTTAGTACGTTTTGAGTTTTACACTATAAACAAACTTTTATTTTGACTATGAAGAACGAGTAATATTTTTGTGATTTATATATATATATGAAAAAAACATATATATGTGAGATTTTTTTAAAAAAACATGTATTATTTTATATTAGTATAAAAAAACGTACTATTTATACAATAGCAAGTGTTTATAATTTTTACACATTTATAATTAAAAAGCATATATAAACAGTTAAATTTGTGCATGACACAGAACAAAAGACGAAACTTATCAACTAAAACAACAAAAGGAAAGTATTTATCATTAATGAAGGAGCACACAAATTAAGATGTACCATGAGTAAATAGTAAGGGACCTTATACAGTAATTAACAGTGAGTTTATTTAAATTTTTATTATTTTTTATTAACTATTTTAATTGTACGGGTTGGCCCGGTGGCCCGGGGTGGGTACCCTACAAAAGTGTGGACTAAGATGTGGGGGGTCCCTAATAGAAGAAGCTGAAAATGAGTACCCCAAGAATGTGAGAGAAGCTTCATGCTTACAGCTGGCACACGTTCTTTTTCTTTTTTTTTTGTTCTTATAATTTTACAGTCAATAAAAAAAAATATTATTTTTTACATCCTTTTTTTTCCTTTGACTGAAAAAAGTTTTGGTAATTTTGGTTTTTGTTTTTTAGTAGTGATGGTTATAGGTCCATCTTGTCTAGATGGGTCGGGCTTAGTATTGGGCTTAATTGATTCGACAAATGAATTAAATTTTGATTTTATATCAATCATTTGTCAAGAAAAGTTTATGGTTGCAGCTTTGTGGGCCTCGTTTAATGGTAATTAAATGAATTGAATTAAACTTTTTAATTGGATTATAAATTTTAAAATTTTAATTGTTTAGTGTTATTAAGACTTTTTTTTTTGAACGGTAGTGTTATTAAGACTTTAGTTGTATTGAAAATCTAGATCTCGTCGTAAAGGATGGTTATAAGTGTTGTATGATTTTTAACAAATGAATTCCCCCCTCTTCATTCCATTTGAAAAAAAAAAAAAAAAAAACTTTAATTGGGTCGGTTTTGGGTTATTTTAAATCAGACAATGTTGCATGAAATATAAATTTTTTTTATATAATTAAAATAGGTTCATGACTTTCTGCTACGTTTTGAACACATGTAATTCATTTATATGTGAAGATTCCAACTTGGCTTAGTGTTGATTTTACTCGAGCTTGCTTTCCTTATATAAATCTAGGTTATAGGTACAAATGTAACGAACTATGTAAGTATTGCTAAGAGGGGCATAACAAGTAAAGGCTTGACTATGGGTAGATAAAATTGGAAATGGCACATGCTATAATTCACTTATTAATTTATTATAAAATTTCGATGTGGTACATTAAGTTATTTCCTTGGTGTCCAATACTTGTATATTAAATTTCATGAACTGTTTGATTAATTTGCTAAATAAGAATATATTATGCTTTATTTTTTTTTCATCTTTTAGAGAAAGTAAGTTTATATAATAGGATCAATGAGTCCATATAAGATCAAGACCTATAAGATTAGCCAAGTGTAAGGCCCTGTTTGATTCACCTTAAAAAAAATAATATTAAGTAAAAATAATTTCAGTTCAGTAAAAATAAGTTCAGTTCAGTAAAATTAATTTCAGTTCAGTAAAAATAATTTCAGTTCAGTAAAATTCAGTTTTATTAAAGAAGAATTATAATAGAAAATCAGTAAAAATAATTTCAGTTCAGTAAAAATAATTTAAGTTCAGTAAAAATAATTTCAATTCAGTAAAATTAAGTTCAGTTCAGTAAAAATAAGTTCAGTTCAGTAAAAATAATTTCAGTTCAGCAAAATTAAGGTGAATCAAACAGGGCCTAAATCTTAATTAATGATGAAAGTTTGGAAATTTTAAGTTCAAGACCAACAAGTATATATCATATAGTCAAATTCGAGATTAATATGTTTAGACAAGTAATATAAATTCAGATAAGTAGTGCAATTCTAGTGAACTGATTAAACTCACCATGCATGATCATACATCAGTTCATAAACTTAGGGCATGTTCTCTTACGTTGAAATTCAGTTCGGTTCACTCCAGCTCAGTTCATTTTAGCTCAGTTCAATTCAGTTCAGCTCAGCTCAGTCCAGTTCAGCTCAGCTCAGCTCAGTTCAATTCAGTTCAGTTCAATTAAGTTCAGTTCAGTTCAGCTCCTGATTTCCTTCTCTTATAAAATATTCAGTTCAGTTCAGTTCAGCTCAGTTCAGGTTCAGCTCAGCTCAGCTAAGTTCAGTCAATGAAAACAGGCCCTTAGTATTAAGTTGACACATGATGTGTGAGTTCATGAACTTGTATTAAGTGGGCACATCATAGTGATGTAAGCAAGGAAACACTAGTAGAAATTCACTAAGATGCCCAAGTTAGTGTATAGTCTTATGACATACAGAATATTTGAAAACAATGCAAAAGTACAAACTGAACCTTCAAATCTGATTCACCTTGTTTGGAATGAGTGAAAATTTAAAAGAGAAGAAAAAACTTTATAATTGACAATAAGTGGTACATAGTCTGCTAGCACTGTCTATTTAGGTTTCACTAATGGTACTTTTAATGTTGGACAATCAAGTGAAGACAATATCTAAATATTAAAAAAGAAATTAAGCATGTGTTGAATACAAAGTACAAGTACATAATCAATGTTTTTCGTGTTTAATCTCTTTTTCTAATGTAAGTCAATTACGTGAAAGCATATCAATAAGTCATGCAAAGTATTTTGTTTTAATAAGTTGTTTAATATAAATTTCTTATGTGTATATGAAATAAACAAATTCATTTTATTTACTTCATCTGCTTCATATCTATCTACTTATGGACCGTTGAATACCTTGTGAAATAAAACACAAAAGTCGATAGAATGAAAAAAAACAAAATCAATTACATTATTTTGTAGGATCGGATCCAATGGATTATCTATTAAGATCCAAATTCACAATATATTGTACCTTTATTTCTTCCCTCAGCTCAATCTTAATGAGAATTGATCGTGGAGCCTAGCTAGATCTTTGAAGATGTAGTAGTTGTTGATTTTCTTGATTTCTCATTAAAATATGTATAATAAATTAATTAATTAAGGCACAATTGAGAAGATGACCAAGATTTTTTATTTATAATATGTTTGCAGTTTGCACGTATGGTAGGTCCAAAATCACATCGTACAATTAAAAATCAGTACTACTAGTGACTTTTAAGTACCATTATTAACATACATAATTTTTTTTTTTTGTGGTTGATATTTTACAAAGCGACGTATTACCATCTCCCTACAAAGAATTATCCACCGTCGTACGATCTAATCGTAACAAACATCAATAATTTCTATTTTAATTTGAGTTTAAATGTGTAAAGTATGTGCTAGATGCACACATAATTTAATTTACTTTTTGACGATAAATTAATTTTAATAGTAAATTTTACACCATAACATTTGCTTAGGTAATAGATGAGTAAATTTTATACTTTGTATATTGTTCATTAATTATTTAAGGTAAAGTTACCATGAAAATGTATAAACATGAATTGTGTGGAGAAATCACGATGCATATAGTACACATTACACACAACACGTGTTGGGCGGCGGGTGTACATTATGAAATTTTTATAAGGGTAATGTTTTAAGGCTACATATAATTATTAAATATACTCTTGAAAATTGTATAAAATTAGGAATTCATGATAAAAACACACGCAAATCAGTGTGTTTTTTTTTTTAATTTTTTATGGTTTCCTAAATTTATACGATTTTCTAATGTAAATTTAATTCTTATATATAGCCCTTATGACTATATATAGCATCTTTCTTTTTATATTTGTTTGTTTTTTCTATTTATTTTTTACACAATTTTCAATACTCATATTTTGAATACTCCCTCCGTCCTTTTATTACAGTCTCAATCTAACATTTATTACTCACATAATAAAGAAAAATGGGACTCTAATATAAAGACGAATAAAATATTAAGTATCTTCAATTACCTATTATTAAAAAGTTCATAGAAAAATAATACATCAAAGAATACTCAAAATTAAATTTTCTCT